CCTTTTCAGTTATATTTTGAATGTAAAGCCTAACTATTTCTCCGAGTTGTTTTCGTTATAAAGTGAAATCTAGTACGACTTGTACTGAGTTACAAAACATGCCTAATATGTTGATGATAAAAATATTAGATACCTACATATCAGCATTGCGCACCCTGTATTTTTTAACTAACTTATACAAATTTCGGTTTGTATAATACCATTTCGGTTGTATAATACCATTAACAAGAAGAATTCTTCATTTTGATAAGCAATTTCAACTACTGGCAATTAATGAGAGAACTGCATAAGTCGACTTAAGCAAACGTAAGAATACAGCAGTATTTTTCATTAACGAAGTATACAATTTCAAATGTGTAATATGATAGCTAAATTTTTAGCTTTTATTAAATAAACAATAAATACTAATACAAGATAATAAAATAGGTACCATTCTGAATAAAAAGTTATACTTTAAAGTGTTTTTTCTAAAAAATTTTTGACAGAACTGTAACAATTATATCTTACCTCTGCTGGGTAACAATAATTGAGAGATACGTTATGTATTGTTGAAAATATCAAAATTAAATCAGAATAAATATTTATTGTGATATTTCGTGCTAAATTTATTTCGATATTTTCATCTCTTGCATATTATTTTTTGAATCTTATCTTACCAGGGAAGTTCTTAACCTATATAAACATATTTTTTTTCGAGGACAAACACTTACAAAAATGTTTGTTGTCTACATTAGATAAGGTTAGTATTGTTTTGCAGAGGCTTTGTTTGTATTGTCCTGGCAGCGTCTAGGTAAAACTGTGAATATGTTTCAAGCATTTTGGAACAAAGGCAGAAAGAAAACAAAACAAAAATATTGCTGAAAATAAAAATAATACTTAGTTCTGAAGAAAAAATGCATTGTTCATTTGTACATTTGTACATTTATGGTTGGATCTATAGGTTTAACAATTTCATGTCAATTTTGTAGGAAAAAATATGAAAATGGTTTTTTATCTGTCCTCGTCATTAAAAGGCATTTATTACATGAAATAAACCATTTTTACTCGCATCCAACGAATACTTGTATAAGGAGTGTTCTAAATATAGGTGAAATTTTTTAATATTGAATACACATTATATTACCTTTGAAAATTATTATTTATTTAAAATAATATTTTTACTTCTATTTAATCCCTCAACCAACTTTCTCGTAGTAAAATTTGCTTTGATACTAATAATTTACGGAATTTTTTCAGTAATTCAGCACGATTACTAGCTTCTAAAAGACCTGGCCTTTGTTCGTCATTTACCATAAATCCTCACGACCATTTTTAAAGCGTTCAAATCACGTATATGTAAACCTGAGTACGACTCACAGAATTATCACCCTGCACTTTTTTCACCAATTCGTATGTTTCAGTGATTTTTTTAAATTAAACACAAAATATTAAGTTTTTTGAACTTTTTGAATGTAATTTTAAAATATCTCCAAAAAATAAAAATATTTATATTAAAAATCATAAAAATGTTGTATATAAATATAATATAATTTTAAAGGTAAACGAATTTATAATAATAATAATAAAAAAATAGTAGTGTTAAAAGACATATTTATTTGACTATGTTATGATTACTTTTAATTTTTCATGAATGCCTTCATTGTATTCAAATATTTCTTCTATTACAATTGTAAATATATGTACTTGTTACAATAGCTTTAAGAAAACTTGCGATTATGTTACTTTTCTTAGTTTCTATAGTAATAAATAAACAAAAAACTAAAAAGTAATCATAGGTAATCAAAAGTAATCATAGGTAATTAAAGGTAGCCAAAATGTACCGATTAAAAAAAATAAAATAAAATATATCTGCTAATTAAATTAAACTTCGATTACTTTTGTTTAAACTTTTTATAATTTGATTAAAAACTCAGCTATCATTACAAAAACTAGTAGTTAATTAATAGCTCTGATTAAATATATGCTTTTATAGTTAACCCTACTTGGTGCGTCGTCAGACAGCTACTTTATCTCCACTTGTAAATTTGATTATTAAATAATAAATTTGTTGTTGTAGAACGCTGCAGCTGGCACGCCATACTATTATAGATACATAATTTTATCTAATAAACAATAATAAGAAATATACAAATATTAATGATAATAAGTTTTGTTGTCTAGGTTAGAACCACATTTTACTGAAATGAAAGCAACATTTTTAAACATTTAACATATTTCTATTTCTGCTCTTTCATTTTGCAAAACATCTAAACTAAATTTAAGCTCTTTCTCACGTTAAGCACTTACATTAAACAACAATTACTCTGATTGACTTATTGTGCTGCCAATGCTTTACATGCTTCTCTGAATGAGTACATTGTTTACATGCGCTCTCAACACCAGTTGGCTCAAAACAATTCAACATCGGCAATCACAAAGTAATTATTTATAAATATAATTACTTATATTCTTGGGCACATTTAAATCGCTTTGCAGCCGCGTAACTTACAGATGCTCATTTCTATATGTATCTATATAAGTAGCTGTGTGTTTGAGATATATTTGCATAGAACAAAGCGTGCCTTGCATACTCGAAATGCTACTTGTTGCTTTTACGTATTTAATTATTTTTTATTTAATTGAAATTCATAGTTGTTTGTTGGTGGGAACGCCTTTTATGGCGCGCTTACGCTGACGCATGTTTGCGGCTGTCGACGTAAATCAATTTCTTGCACTTTTTGCGGTCAATTTGTTATCTATCTTAATCGGAAGTCATCGTGGAATACTTCATGCCGAGTTATTCTGAAAAAAAAATTCTGGGTATTTTAGCGAATAGATAACAAATTGAGTCTTAAATTTATTTTTAGTTCACCTATGCATATTCAAATTTGTTGTTTTTGTGTGATCATTTATTGCTTGTGCATATATTTTCTACATTTGACAGAGCTATTGCTACAGAGTATAATATTTTTGTTTCTTATTGTTTTTATTAAATTAAATTGGTTGTAGTGGCATTTTGAAATTTTTCCAAGTTTTTCAAAAGATATTGTTTGCACTTATGCTAGTTTTAATGAAATATGTGGAAGTTTAAAAATAAATTAAAAATACATATTTTTTAAATCTCATATGACACATAACTTCGTTCTATATTCATATTGTGAGGCGGAAGTAACTCTTTGAGTGTTGAGAATATTATCAAGTTAGATTACTATCCGTAAAATTTTATTCTATTGTCTCCAAATCATATACATATTTTTATAAAGTTTGATTTTTAAGCCCTATGGGAATCTAACTAGAAATTTTTTGTTCTAAAAATTAATCTTTGCTTTGTATAATAGAAGAGTTGTCGTGTTCGATTCACCATTTCTCTACTCATTATATTTCAGCTCTGTGCTCTTGTCAAACAAACCGCATGTCACCACAAAATGAGAGACCAGATGAATCATTATATATATCTGATTTTTTTGCTCGTTCGAGTCACTATCTTCTACTCTCAAATTTCGTTCGATTTTAGCAAACAAAAAAGTTTGCAAACCTAATGCGGTGTTGAGGAAGAAATTGCAAAAAAAAAAAAAATCAAAATAGAATTAAACGTTTCCTCATAGCTCTAAAAGGCAAGAGACATGTGTCTAAATAACTTTAGTTTTGATTTTTACTTTCTAAATTTTCATTTAATGCTTTCACACTTTTATTATTTACCACCTGTTAAAATTTCAAGCCTATTTTTAGCTAGTTGTAAAATTTAAAATTCGTTCAATTTCCTAATAGAGTCATCCGTTACACACGATATTCTAACGACTGTGGAAATATAACTACAGAATGCTAGTGAAACTCTAATAATTCATTAAATTTACATTTGAAATTCTAAAAGCATTTGATTGACTCAGATTTGCATTTCCTTTTGCGTTAAATATAAAATGAAAAGCAAATTGCAATTATAAAAACCTCAAAGCAGTGTAAAAGTTATGGAAGAAAAAAACTTTGAAAAACGTTTGAGAGCATTTACAGTATCGTACAAAATAAGAGCAAAAAAATGTGTAGATTATTGTCAATACGAAATGCGATATTTTTTGTTATTCAAAGTATATAACATTGTGAATTCAAATACAAGTACATTTGCTTATTCACTATTAAGAAAAATAATCATAAGTAATTTAAGGTAATTTTATAATTAAGCAAAAATATTATATTATTTAATAACACTTTAAGTTAATTACTTTTCGAATGTTTTCGCAATATTTCGCCTTCTTGTCATACTGTCGTGGAACAATTACATGTGATTTTTTTCATTTTTCTAAGCGATTAAATAGGTCTAAATAATAAAAAAAAATTATAAATATTTTCAAAAATAAATACTTGATTAAACACAAGTAAAAAGTTATGTATTAATTTCACTATTTTTCGATTATTTTTGATTATACTTGAATGTTCTCAATATATTTAAATACTTCACCTTTCATAATATAATAATAGCAGCACGTATATTTTTTGGCACAGCATCGCATATGTTTCTTTAGTCGACTATTTGATAATTAAAGAAAAGTAATAATTCAAAAAAAGTTATGAAAAGTAATCATATGTAATCAAAAATAATCATATGTAATCAAAAGTAATCGTCATTTGATTACATAAAAAGTTATCAAAACAAATAGAAATAGAAGTAATAATTTAATTATATTTCCATTATTGTCGATTACTTATGAATACCTACATTCTATTCAAATATTTCAGTTATCATATAATATATGTAATATTTGACATCGGTTTCAGCATATCTGCGGTTTTATTTTTTTTTGGTAGTAATAAATGAAAAGTAATAAATAAACAAAAATAAAAAGAGGTAATCATAAGTAATCATAGGCAAACGGAAGTAATCAAAGATAATCAAAAGTAATGGAAATATAATAATTGATAAAAAAATTCAATATAAAAAATAAATGATACTTAAAATATTTTGCGATTACTTTTGATTTTTATTACACATTTATTATAAATTCTGTAATCATTACAATTATTAACGGTTATATACTTTGATTAGAAGAATGATTTTCTAGTTCGTGTGATTTAATGCTTTTTTTACTATTCCATTTATTATTCACGTTCTAACTGGGTTGCGCTTCTGTTAAAGAAGGTTAACGGGAATTTTTTCTAAAAGTAGTATGTATTATTACCCATAGCATATATTTTTTCTACGCTACTGTAAGCTAAGCATTGACTAAGCTAAACTCATCTAGGTGTCAGATTGTTTGGAGAAATGAAAAATTGATCAGAGATTTCGGCGACGTTCACAATTGAGCGATAAATGTCATGCCTAAACATAGAAACATGTATTCTAATACACGCACGCATACATATGCTCGCCGTTACCTGTATAAATATGAGTTGCGTTCGGCACACGCGAATAGTTTGCTAGCAACACTCGTCGCATTATTTACAATTTCCCTTCGATACGACAAATTTAAACAAAATAAAATACAACTAAAAACAACAATAAAAATGTCGCGTTTACATGTCCGTGTTAACACGGTTGCGTTATTATTTATCTCGTTTGCTGTCGCCACACACGCACAGGGTGGTCTATTCAGCATCACCGATGTGGGTAAAAGTCTGAAGGATATTGCGACGGGCGTCTCGAAGGACATAACCAGTTACATACCCTCGCCTGAGGGTATTTTCGAGTCGAGTAAGAATCTATTGGCCGGTTATCCCTTCGAATTGGCCTCCTCGGCAATAAATACGATTTGTAAGTGTCGGAAGTGATTGACATTACCATAATACTGTGTTATGCTATGAATCCTTCTGTGTCATTATATCTTTAATATTGCCTACATCTCAGGTTCCTCGGCACTCTCATCTCAAACGATAAAATCGCGTGTGACACCCGATTTGCAAAAGATCAACTTTCAGCTACGCACAGCTTGCAACAATTACAGTTACCCGCTGTTGAAATCCAATCAAATATGGCGTAGTCCTGAATTCGATCCGTCGAAGAAGGTGGTCATTCTGGCTACTGGCTGGACCACAACTGTTAATAGCTCGGATACGATCGACGTGTTGGCTAAAGCGTATAACTGTCGTGGTGATGTGAATTTCGTGGTGAGTATGCGCTGAGAAGTGTGGTGAATAAATAAACGTGAGAATGGTATAAATAAAAAAATCTTCAAAAATAAAGAAATTATAATGACACATTTTTTATGAATAAATTCAGGAGGTAAGATTTTGATTTTCATAAATTTTGATTTAATTTGATAATAAAAAAGTTTAAAGCAATAATTAGTTAAAAGTCAATAGAACTAAATTTTTAGTTCCTGAAAAAATATGCAATTACAAAAATAACAATCCCCTCGTACACAGGCCCTCGACATAGCCAACTTCGTCGATACACTTTACACTTGGTCTGCGCTAAACACAGACGAAATCGGCGCGAATCTTGCCGAAGGCATCGAGTTACTAACTCAGATAGTACCGCTCGAAAACATACATCTCATCGGTCACAGTTTGGGCGCGCATATCGTAGGCGCCACTGGGCGTTACTTTAATGAAAAAACCGGTAAGCTGGTGCCGCGTATTACCGGTTTGGATCCAGCAAAACCATGTTTCAACGAAGGTCACGTGCTCTCTGGTCTACAGCGTGGTGACGCTAAATTCATTGATATAATTCATTCGAATCCCGGTGTGCTGGGCAAGCGTGAACCTATGGGTGATGTAGATTTCTATCCGGGCGGTTTGGATCCGCTGCCAAAAGGTTGTCTGCACGTGGTATGTGCGCATGGGCGGGCGTGGGAATACTACGCAGAATCCGTTTATCCCGGCAATGAAATGAATTTCATGGGCAAACGTTGCACTTCACAGACACGATTGCTCGATAATAAATGTCCAGGTGCGGAGCATCCTATGGGCTATGCGGTGCCGCATGAACTCAGAGGTAACTACTTTTTGGAAGTGAACGAAGCGGCGCCGTTCGGTAAGGGCGCCAGTAAGGAGAAATTGGCATCTCAGGCGAATTGTGGTTTATGCTCGGAGAAGAAGCAGCCAATAAAATGATGTGACCGTTACTTGAGTCATTAATTAAAATAAGTTTTAAGAGTTTTGCATTAATAAATTTTATGTTTTGTTAAAATGACGGCAACCCTGTTAGTTATAATATCATAAATAAACAAAAAAATAATACTGAAAATCTTTTGTTTTTATTATGTTACATATGATATATTGAATTGGCGATGTGCTGGTTGTAATCCTGGTCAAGGCAAACAGCCTATTAACCTTAATCTATTTGCATTTTTATCAATTCTTTTTTTTTTAATATATAAAGCTATCATTTGATTTAATTTTAATTTCAACGTTTTGTATTTTCTCTGTTAATAATGTTAAATTTCCTACATAGCTCTTTGCTCATCTCGTCTGTTTTGCTCTGCTCTTTCATCCACACAAACAATCACGTGCCGCTAAAGCTACTGTACTCACTCTCTGTTCACTCTCCAAAAATTCGAATGCATCGCAGACGGCGAAGAAAAATGCGGCAAAAATAAAAGCTCCGCCCAAAAAGGCTATCAACTGAAACGCTTAGAGCTTCGTTGCCACTTCTAAGTAGTTCAGTTCACTGTTGAAGCTGAAAGCGGCTAGTTAATGGTGTTGATGTTCTCTTTTATAAACTTCATAACTCCGCTTTGCAAAAAGGCGTATTTTTTAAACCAAAAATTTTGGTAATAAGAATTAGAAAGCTGTAGTTTCTGACCAATCTGGTCAAAGGTACTCACTCTAACTGTAGAAATATAAATAAATTTCGAAATATAGACCTCTTGTTTAAATTTTATTTAAGACGACATCAAGCTATTTCTTCTTAAGTGGAGAATGAACATCCTTAATCCATAAATCCTCATCTATCTGAAACATCCGTAGCAAATTTGATAGCAGGTTTTTTTTTTTTTTTTGAAACATATTTACTTGGAGAATTGCGGCAAGGTCCACGAACCTAACTCTATTTTTCAGGCAGATTTTGTTAGATTATGGGGACTTTTTCTTCTTGACATACATGTACTTGTACATATATATCATAGCATACTTGTACTTGTACATATATGGCAATTCTTTTAGCTTACTGTAATAATATAACTCGATGACAATGAGGCTTTTAGAATTTCTTTCAAAAATCGCTCGAGGTGAACGTTAATTGTAGATAGATGAAAACAAAATGTGTTTATCTGTTGGAATAAGAAGAAAACTGTGAACTGACAGCACCAAAGTATCTTAAGACCTAAATACCAGATAAGATAATGCTTCTACCCGTGATTCTTTATTTTAATGAAGAGATATCGATCGGACTTAGACTACGCTTTATAAATAAAAAATCCATACAAGAACTTGATTTGATCGGCAGTTTATAAGACAGCTATATATAATAGTCCGATCTGAGCAAGTTCATCGAATATTGCATTATTACCTTACACAATAACCATGCCAAATTTCGTAAAATATCTCGTCAAATAAAAACTTTCCATGCAAGACTTTATTTCGATCGTTCACTTGTATGGCAGATTATGCTATAGTGGTTCGATATGCAGTCGACAAATTAGCGTTATGCGAAAGGATTGCAGAATTTCAGAACTCAAAACTAGGGCTAAGTCCCGTATATATATACTAACAGACAGACGAACATGGCGACTCAACTCAGCTCGTCATACTTCGAAGTATTTAGATCTTCAATCGGAGGATTACTGCTGAAATCGAAGACTGTTTGACGTCTCAAAATAAATATGTATAACAGTTTCAGAAATATAAAATAACTGAACGTTCTCAGAACTTATATCTAAAGTTCATATTGGAACAAAATCGACTATACTTTTTTTTTCAAAAATATTAGTAAAAGTTCATGTCCAACCCACCACGTCTTCAACGCAAAAATTAAATTTGTACAACATTGTTTCTCTTCATCGTATAAAACAAGTCACCGCACAGCGCTTCATATACTCCATGGATTCGAACAATTTATCACTTCCTTGTTGACACTTCGGCAAACTTTATACCCACGTATCAATTAGCAAAGTGCACACGTAGTTGTATATGCATACCTAAACACTATCCGGATGCAAGTAAGCCAATACTAGATCCTGTAGAAACAGTATTTTTTGACAAACAAACACATACAATTCGACTAAGCTAAATCCCCTATCAACAGGCGGAAACAACTAGACGCTCCAGCCAGTGTCGTCCGTGGCGGTGCATGTATTAGTACATCTACACGGCATTCAAATGAGTATTAAATTTAAGCTGCTTAGCGCTTGGCACGTTTTCTAGTAGCTTCATTTGTTTCCTTTCCTCTGTTTACTTTGTTTATCTTTCTAGTGGCTGCCAATGACATCTTCGTTGCACAAAGTGTTGCAATTTCTCGCTATGGATTTGGTATGCGACGAACTTAAAGTTTCTTAAAATATTTCGGATGCACTTAAAATAGCAACTAAATAGTGGCAAATTTTCTGTGTTAAGATTTCTTTGTGTTTCTTCACGTTTAAACAATGGAATGTCACTTCAAGGCTATGAAATGAACGAAGGCGCCTAATTTCAGACTAATCGTTTTGTCGTTATCTGGCAGGAAAACGTTTGCAAATAAAAGAGAGTATAGATGCTAATGAACTACCATGGCCATTTGACTTTACTATCCCGTATATCTAGCGCCTTACCATAGAATAATTGATTTGTGTGGATTCTTAGTGAAAATTCTGTGAAGAACTACCACTAACTAAACAAAGCATCATTCTACTTTCCAGAGCTTAGTGAGGCTATACGATTAAAATGCGACAGTTCAAGCTATGAGTTCAAAAACTGAACGGAAATTAGTCTGTGAAATACAGTCATTTGCTCTCTAGTTGATTACTGTAAGGAAAAAAAGCAAATACTTCACTTTTTCTTACAACTCGAAGATAGCCGTAGTTTGTGAAGTTCTAAAAATTTTATTTACTTACAAATTATTCTAGCTGAAATCATAATGATCTACCTTCATACCCGCAAAAAGGATTTAAGAATTTAAGTTCCTCTTAACTTCTCAATCACCTTTCAATTACTCAAGCTTTCGACATTCTATTAATAAGCGGTTACAACGATAGTCGATTCTCTCCGTGACATTCACATTATTCGTAGATTAATATGTAGTTTTATGCTTTGTATTGTCGGCCTTATGTTGGGTCAAGGTGAAAATGCGCGAAACCAGCAGTTAACCGCTAGACGAGCGTACGATAAAAACGCGCGTAAAATATGTACATTACTAAAGTTAAGAATTTTGCTTCCCTCATTACCCACGTGGCAATAATAAAGTTAAGCAACAACAACAAAATATTTTTATTGTTAAAAGTGTTGTACAAGTAAAAACAAAAAGTTTTTAAGAGGGGGTTAAGAGTAGAGCGCAAAAGTTGTACACGCAAAGGGTCACGTGCTTCTATTTTCTAGTCTACACTAGTCTAGTTTCAAACTCTCTCATAACACAGTGACGAAAACATTCTTTTAGTTTTAGTAACTACTCAGATCACATAATAAATTGGTATACAAACGGTGACTCTTGGCCTGCGGGACTCTAAACTCTTTGATGGCGAGAGCTCAATTTCATTTAGTCAATAATATGTTGATTAAACTGAGCTTATAACCAATTAATACAAATAGGAAACAGTGCAATATTCAGAAATTAAGGGCTGTTCTTCTCCAATATATACACTATATTTTAGAAAAATTACAGCGTACGAGAGGCCTAAAAGTATGCACGAACATACGCAAGAAACTTTTTATAATGAAAGCAACAGTTTTTAAATCACAATTGACTATTAAGGTAGCTCTGAAATAAGGGTAGATATTACCCCGCAGATGCTTAAACTAAGCGCTGTCGCTCTCCACATCAAATCAATGGTTGAGACAGCCCAATTCTTGAGACGTCTTTAATTGGCGCAATCGGACCATAATTTCAGTACCCAAACACCAAATATGTGAACCAGTGCATATGGCTGATTTTTACTGAACATATCGGTCAGTCTGTGAGGTCTAGTATTAAATTAGGAGAGAATATTTTGTGATGACACGTGCATGCCCCTGTACCTAAAATAGGTAAAATGGGTCAAAACTTCCCTTAGCACCCATATACTAATATAAATATATTCGACTTCCGATTGACTTTAAACTACAAGTATATCTAACGGTTAATATAAAGAATCTCTTTCTAATACAGTCTATAGTCTTGCCTAAAATGAATGAAATCAGCGTAATACCTCCCTAGTCCTCCCTTATATCACATATATTAGTCAATCTTGAGGTAATTAATTAATTAAGAAATTAGGTATAAAATAATTAAGAAATTAGCAAGTTGTAAGAGTATGAAATGCTCGGTTCACCTGAACTTAACCCTATCTTACTTGTTTTATTTTTAACCTAAACAAAGTATGTTATGTTTTCCATGAAGTTTGCAGCACAAGTTTTGTGCCGAGCTGGTCGATTTAGTCATGTTCGTCTGTCTGTATATACGCGAAGTAATATCTCAGTTTTGAGATATCACTCGAAAATTTTGCTCACTTCATTTTCTCTCTAAGAAAATTCAAACCATTCAAACTTACCGCAGAAAATCGAGATAAGAACTTTGTATACCCATTTAAGCTGTAAAAATCCACTGTGAAGGGTATCGGAAGGTAGGTCGCTACTATCGAAGTTAACGTTTTTTCTTTTTAATTATTATTATTTTTCTAGAAATTATTATTTCATTGTGATTTGGTACTTTCCTCTCACTGTTATGTACTCGTATATGCACTGTCCTTAGCGGGCCCAATTCTAAAGCTTCGCGCTATTAGATAATAAGTAATTATAATGCATTGCGAACTTTTAATTATTCAGAAATGAAAACCTTGGACATTTTGTATTCTTTCAGATGTTCTAATACAAAGGTTTTATAGTTAACTTTATTAACTACTAATAGCTAATATGCAATTGTTTTAGAATAAATTAACTGGATTCAGTTCACTTTCATTACTACAAATGTGAAATTTATATTCTTTTGTGCAAGATATAATAAATATACTTTATATGCTATTTAGAATTTTAATTTATATATTTATAATTTTAATTTATATATATATTTAGATTTAGTACTTTTTGTTTTTGTGACTCTACCTCTGACATAAGCCACAATTGCAACCCGAGCACCGCATT